TGCAGAACATTTGTGTTGGTGTGTTTAGTACTGGAGGAGGGGCCAATGTTTGACAGCCCGCAGACCATAGCCTCTTTATGCACAGAACTAGCATAGCATGTGCCGTGGCACTGCCCGCTTCACCGTACGGTCTCAACTCTCTTCTGCTAGGCTAGTCTCCATGCCCAGTCGACCTTTGGCCTCTCTGCTGAGGCTGTCACAACAGGTGTGCCAAGTGGAATGGTGGCTTTTGTGATGTGGACATCAATCCACTGGACTGAGATCACCGACTCATTTCACACAGGCCCTGAACGGCCATCAGATGTAATGACTTTTGGCCAATATTGACCTTGTCTGGATTTGAACTGGTGAAGGGCTTTGTATCCCATTAAATCCCTGGAGCCATCAGTCCTCCTGACCAAGCATTTTAATAAATATAAAGAACTACAAAAAATCCATGCAGACACCAAAGCTATTATAACTCTAGTTTTGTTGTGGATGGTTAAAGAACGTGAGAGGGCCTAACACATCAGAATATTGCTGAATAGGCCTAAGGGGATGCAGAGATTCTCATCCATTTTTCACAGAAGTTTTAGGAATCCGAGACTAAATAAGACCCAGTTACATCATATCCATCTCCCTGCAGGCAAGTTCGTTCTCTACAGGACATTTTTCTCATTTCCTCCTCCCTGCAGAATAGCTGCCATAGGCATTCATGGCCTGATAATACATTTATTAAGTCTGAAGTGAAATGGACAAAGCTACGGTCCTCCCTCCCGCAGCTGGAGAGGAGAGCACAGCAGCAAGGCATGTACTACTTATGGGTCCACTCAGAGACTGTGTCAGCATCCACTGCCGTGCTGAGCCTCCGCTAGTTCTGGCAGTTGGGAATTCCAACAAATCCTCTCTTACAGCCCCGGTTTCTGGCATGACAACACAATGCGATGCCATCAGGCTGCTGGGAATATTTTTTCACTCCATCCTGAACACAAGATATTTCCTGCCAACAATCTGTGCGGAACCATTACTTATTGTCTTGAGACTGTCAAATATCTTCACTTTGGACACCCGTCAAAGCATTCTATTAGACCATAAAAAGAGAAACAAAGCAGTGCTAAATATATATTTTGGGGAATGGGGCAGATTTACATTCAGCCAGAACTTGGCATGAACAAACAAAGCAAGAAAGCCAGCCCGCCCGCCCATCCCAGTCTATAATAGTGGAAACCTGGTAGCCCAAATGTGACTTTATAGCATGCAACTTGCAGATAACTACTACTTTGCGTGTGGCTTGTTTAGAGAAGAGAAGAGGAAAGAGGTCTACAGTGAAAGCACATTAGATGGAGTTTCACAGTGTACACAGTCAGGAGACACTGTCAAGTTGGTTCCAAAGCAACTGTGACAAGGGAACCTGTAAAACTGATACAAACATAGGCACCGACTCCGTGGGTGCTCCGGGGCTGGAGCATCCACAGGGAAAAGTTAGTGGGTGCTCTGCACCCACCGGCAGCCAAGCTCCCCTCCTCCCCCATGCCCATCTCCTCCCCGCTCCCTGCACGCCGCGTCCCTGCTCTTCCGCCTACCTCCCAGCACTTCCCGCCACCAAACAGCTGTTTAGCAGAGCTTAGGACTTTCCAGGAGGGACGGGGGGAGGAGCGGGGACACAGCACGCTCAGGGGAGGAGGCAGAGAAGAGACGGGGCAGGGGCAAGGACTTGGGGGATGAGGTGGAATGGGGGCGGGGCGAGGGGCGGGGCCGAGCACCCACCAGGAACAGTGGAAGTCGGAACCTATGGGTACAAATACAAATATGCACCAAAACAATGAGGTAAGAATAGGATCCTTTTGTTGGATCTCCCCAAATCATTCATTTATGAGCACTACACTGACGCTTTAGGGAACCCCTAGGCCTTCAGAAGTTAATTCAAGGGTCAACACTGTCTGGACGCAGCAAGAGGTTAAGCAATCACTGCAGCACTGAGCACATTTGGTAGTGATGCTGCTGCAAAACTAGCTACAGGCCATGAAAAAATAAATGCTTCCAAATCATTATGTCAATGTCTATTTTTTTCCTGCACAAGACAATCTTCCTCTGCTTTTTCACAGCAATACACTATTTTAAAATATAATTAGCATTACTTCAATAGAGAAGACCCCCATATGCTCTGCAGCAACTGCATAAGAAAGATCATTTAGGGGGGAAGCTGTAGGTTTTGACAGCCAATAGGAAACAGTTGGTGCTTTTGGCAACCAGGAAGGTGTGGGAGGCGGTTTGGATCTATAACACTCTGAAGGTGTTTGAGGCTTTTGGCTACAGGGAAGAAATGCACCTCCTCTTTCCCTCTCACTTGTGGGCAGGTTTGAAGGTGACTGCATTTTTGGGGGATGTGACCTTCTTTTCCCCTCTTAGGAACCAGCTATCTCAGTGCCTCAGTATTCACCATTGTGTCTAACAACCATGGATTATAAGCACAATGGCTGGATGTTTCTGCTAATACGAGTAGCACTGAGCAATGTCACTATTAGGTTCCAGAGATAACTTTCAAGAGCTCTTTCCTCCTAGGTTGTTCACAGACTCGGGAAGAGAACACTTCTTCAGTTCACTTGCAGCTTACATTTGGAGGGTTATCTTGGCAAACCTAAGAGCAGAGCACATCTTTTTATTGTATGAGCGCTGACATTCTGATGCACGGTGCTTATTCATATCTGAGCACTACACTGACATTTTAGGGAACCCCGGATCAGCTGGGTAGACTTCTGAAGCTAATTCAAGGGCCAACTCTGTCTGGACGCAGCAAGAGGTTAAGCTATCACTTATTGCTTAAGCAATGCTTATTCAGGGAGTGGAGTCTTCACAAATGTCACAGATATGGACTCAGGGAGCACAGGAGGCACTGATTATACATCCTCCTGAGATGCAAATGGGAGCAGGACTGAGAAATCTGCACACCAGCTCTCAGGGCATCAGTCTCCCACCCACCCCCCAATGTCAAAACTCAGCTCATAGTGGCTGTTAGTGTTGTTGTGCACACACAAACATCATTATAGTTGCATTAATGGTGAAAAGGTCCTTTTGTGGATTCACAGTTACATAAACCTTATTTAGATCTCTAAGGCCCTATCTACATTGAGATCAAAACCAAGTTAAGTACAATGATACAGATCTTTTTAAACACAGCTGTTGCCAATCAGGGTTTAGCATAGTTTCCCTCAGCTCTGGGGATAGGACTTTTTCTCTGAGAACTCTCTTAAAAATCAACTGACTACATAAGGCGACTAGCCTATGGCCTGGTTCGCTGGCACAGTTCTCAGTACAAATTCCTGTCCCCACTGATCATGGAAATCGTGCTGGAACCCAGCTGGCAGCAACAATCACATGTAACATAGTTGTAACTAACTCAGTCCGATTTCCATTATACAAAGAGCGTAAGCTCCTAACTTTATGAGCAGTTTAATCTGATTATTTTTTCTTTCCCCTCCTACCCAATTGGCTGCACTCACTATCTGTTTGCTAGGTCCTTAACTGGAAATCCATGCTAATTGACTTATGGCGCATTTGATAAACTGAAGTTTTTCTGTGTTTAGTCAGCAAACCGCACTTCGTGACTCTACTCAATCTCTGCTAGTTAAGGCCAGTGGTCCCATCTTGAAACCCGGGAGCAAAAGGCAATAAAATGCAAAAGCTACAGCTGGAAAGAAGACACACAATGCTGACCCAGCTCTCAGTGCCAGGACTGTTCTTCATTGGGCTGAGGCAAAAGGCTCTTGGATAATGATTATTCAACTCACTTACCCAGCCAGGTTTTACCCAACGGAACACACCCTTGCAAACAAATTACAATTTTTTAACCACAACATTTTTTGTTTACTGCACCAGCCAAGCTAAATATTCAGCAACTGCAACTTTGAGACTAGGAAGCAAATAATATTAGCTGTATTGATTTTACAGTAGTAATGACCTTACATTTATATAATGTCTTTCATCCTCAGGGATCCCTGTGTACATTACATACTTAAACACTGAAATGAAGTTGCCTCTGGAGTGAAACACAGCAACTGTCTGATAGGCCACACCAATACTATATACAGCTTTTAGGCCAGAAATGCAGATGAATATATTTTTCAAACTGAAACGGTTAGTGTAATTTTAGGTAGGTAGAATGTAATTACCATAGCAGGAACTGGGCAGTTGGTCTCTTGCAAAAAAGTTCTATGGGATTGATAAAGGCCAAATCTTTACAATTGGAGCCTGGCGGAACGTGCATATAAATGACATTTAGGCATCTAAATAACTATTTTCACTTTAAGTCACCACATACACTGCACAATTGCAACCATTACATATGGGAATATATAGTAGGTATGCAACTGCATATGGACTTCAGCTTAAAAGTTTGGCTATTAACGAAAAAAGTTTTCAAGACATCCGTTTTGTATCTCATCTGAAAGCCAAAACTTCGCACAAAACAGCAACCTTATCACCATGTCATGGCACTGGTTTGGTACTCACTCAGAGAGTGAATGCTGCTTTTGAATCAACAAAACTTCTCCCTGCAACACCTAGGGGTTCTTCGGTGGTCTCCCATCCAACTACTGACCTGGGACCAAACCTTCTTAGCTGGAGCTCTGGATTCTAATCCCAGCATTACAATAGATTTCCTGGTGACCTTGAGCGAATCACTTAACCTGTCCGTGCCTCATGTTCTTCATGGGTAAAATGGGAATAACAGTATTTCCCTACCTCTCAAAGGTTTTGTGAGGCTAAAATTCATTCGCATTTCTGAGAAGTTTAGGGACCATGGAGATGAGCACCACAGAGCAATTTATAAATTAAAAAAACAAGTAAAGAACAACAAGCAGAAAACGAACTGTTAGAAAACTTTAGTCCTGGTTCCTCCTCATGGGCAAACCTCTGACGATGCCTATAAAACGTGCCAGATTAAAAGATACAACCCAGAATGAAATCTTACCCTAGGATTGTGGAATAAATAATGTCTCCAGGAAGTGGAAGAGGGTGCTTACCGTCTGAGTGCATTTGTTAGTTCTGCAGCCAGTTCACTGTCGTTGTATGGTCTCAGCTCAGCGAGGGTTAATGGTGTTGTGGTCCCATCTGTGCATTCCTGAGAAATGAGCAAGATCGCCTTACTAAGAGTTACTCATCACCTTAAGGGGGGGGATGGGACTATGAGCACTTTTAAACTTACAACTGCTTTTAAAACTGAGCTAAAATTAAATCAGTATAAACAACACAAGAGTCATGTAGAAACATCAATGCACCAAGAGATGGGTCAATGCATTATATTCACCCAATGTTTTACAAACCATCCCACAATAATCAATAATTTGCAGAATTCTGCTATACAGCATACATTCTCTGGTGTCTTATTTCACTTTTGACACTGGGTTTGAAGGGAAAAAGCACAGTGGGCAAGCAGAAATTCAAATGATGTGTAGTCAAAAATACAGAGGGACACTTCTGTAATTTTTTTTGCTGCTGGGGCTTTGCAGGGACAGAGGAACAAAGGGATACAGCAGCATAGGCATGAGATTATAGAATTTCTAGGGTGTCCCTATTTCCTTAGAAAAATTATAAACCTAAAGATAGCAATACACAGATTTTGTTAATTTAAGGGGAAATTATTTCCCCTCCCCACCATTGGTACCTACCTGCATTGCGAGGGGGTTTTATAAATAAATCTCCAGCCATTTCCTAATGAAATGAGCACTAATGTATCTCAGTTTATTTCTGGATGCACGGACCCCATCACTATTGACTTTCAAGGAGATACAACAGTCAGATGACAATAAAGTTGGCAATAGTAGCTAGTATGCTAGTGCCGAACGATTGTCATCTTCCCAGAATTTATAACTGCATTTTGCTCAGGGGACATGGGCTTAACTTTGCAGTGTCTGAGATCCCAGGATGGAAGGTGCCATATAATTAAGGGTAAGATTATGTCACGGAGGTCACAGAATCTGTGACTTCCATAGACCTCCATGACATTTTCCACTTCAGCCCAGGAGCAGTAGGGCTGGAGCTGGCAGCCAGCGGGGGCCCAGGAGCTCTCAGCCGCTGGTGGCGGGGGGATCTCAGAGCTCTGGCTGTGGGCAGCTTCCACAATTCCAAGCCACCGTGGGCAGCAGTGGGGACTCTGGCGCTCTCAGCCACCACAGGTGGTGGGGACTCTGGATCTCCGAGCCACCACAGGCGCCTTGGGGACCCGGGAGCTGCAGCAGCAGTGGGTGCTGAATCCGTGCCCCCCCCAACCCCCGATTTTGTCACAGTTGTTTTTAGTAAAAGTCACAGATGGGTCATGGGCTTCCGTGAATTTTTGTTTCTTGCCTGTGACCTGTCTGTGACGTTTACTAAAAGTAACCATGATGAAATCTTAACCTTACATATAATACATGTCAACTGGAAGATGGAGAAAGGTGTGTGTGTGTAGATGGAAGGGAGAAAGCAGGGATGATTAACATGCTTAAAACTGGTAACGACAGGGAGATGAAATGTCTTTAGTTATGTTTACTCTGATTCTGGAGACTTGCATTAATTCCTGACCTTGCCCAATTTGTCTTTGCTGCCACTACTGGTGGAGCTGAGGGATCTCATTTTCTGTTCTTTTTGCTCTTCTACTTCAGACTTTAGGTGCTCAATGTGAACTAGGTAGGCCTGTTCTTGGGCCTCTCGAGTGCTGAGTTTCAACTCCAGTGCTTTCTTCTCTTTCTCTAGCAGGTACAGTTGTGCCTTAAGCTCTGCCATCTCCTCCTGTTGGAGACACACAGACAATCACATCAAGATACTGTGACGTTGTGCAGTCTACATGGTTTTATAAAAATATAATAATAAGTCAATATAATGTAACTGGGATAGATTTAGAGAAAATACGGTAATAAGTGATATAATGTAACTGGGATATGCTTCATGCAAAAGGTCTCTTGTAAGGTATCATTACAAAGCTTATAATCTACTGAGTATGATAATCTGATTTGTATCAATGTACCACTCTTGTATCTGAAACTAGAAATATAAAACATAACTCTGAGGGCCTATTGTAATTATGTAAAGTGTGGGCCATTAAGGATGGTTTGGAATCTTGATGACTCCCATTGTCTGCAGATGGCTGTATTTACCTTTGAGTCTTCCTGTGTGTGTGTGTGCTGGCAAGTGAGTAATGAAGTCTTGCAGTGACATGTGATCATGTCACCTGTACTGGAATCCATCTTTAACCTGGTGCTTTTCCAGTGAGGGGGGGTGGAAACCCAGAGGGACAAAGGATTCCCGCCTTATGCAAAAGATATATAAAGGGGTGGAAGAGAACAGAGAGGGAGAGGAGCCATCATGGAGAAGCCCCTAGATAACACCTAAGCTGGAACAAAAGCTGTACCAGGGGAAAGAATTGTGCCCAGGCCTGGAAGGTGTCCAGTCTGAGAAAAACCTACTGAAGCATCTCTGAGGGTGAGATTATCTGTATTTAGTTTGATTAGGCATAGATTTGCGCATTTTATTTTATTTTGCTTGTGACTTACTTTGTTCTGTCTGTTACTACTTTGAACCACTTAAATCCTACTGTCTGTATTTAATAAAATCACTTTTTATTTAGTAATTTACTCAGAGTATGTATTAATACCTGGGGGAGCAAACAGCTGTGCATATCTCTCTATCTGTGTTATAGAGGGCGAACAATTTATGAGTTTGCCCTGCATAAGCTTTATGCAGGGTAAAACGGATTTATTTGGGTTTAGACCCCATTGGGAGTTGGGCATCTGAGTGCTAAAGACAAGCACACTCCTGTGAGCTGTTTTTGGGTAAACTTGCAGTTTTGGGACAAGTGATTCAGACCCTGGGTCTGTGTTGAAGTGGACTGGAGTGTCTAATTCAGCAAGACAGGGTGCTGGAGTTCTGAGCTGGCAGGGAAAACAGAAGCAGGGGTAGTCTTGGCACATCAGGTGGCAGCTCCCAAGGGGGTTTCTGTGATCCAACCCGTCACAGATACCACTTCACAGAACTGTACACAAAAGGGAGACAGTGTTACAGTGAATGAAATCATGTTTGTGCTGCTTGCCAAGATGGGGCTTAAATTTAATTTTCAATGAATTTTTAATTTAGGAATCACTCATACGATTCAAATGTATTATCTAAACAAAGAACATTTACAGACACAGGCAGCAGTAGAGAATTTTCTGGTGTAAATATATTATTGGTATTGAATATAATTATGTATTATATTCATAAGTAAAAATAACCATGGAAATGTTTGAAAAGCTATCCCCTTGAGCCATAAGAGGTCCTACTCAGAGAGAAGTCTGAATTGGTGTAATATATATTTCCTTTTAGTCACACCACCTTGCCCTCACACTAGGGTGACCAGACAGCAAGTGTGAAAAATCAGGACGGGGGTAGGGGGTAATAGGAGCCTATATAAGAAAAAGACCCAAAAATTGGGACTGTCCCTATAAAATTGGGACATCTGGTCACCCTAACTCAGACTCCCAGGACCAAATTCAGCAGTGATGATAAAGGGGCAAGTGATATGCTGAAAGCAGGTGTGAAAATCTAAGACAGTCTGTTAGTGTAACTTATCCTAACTGTTGAGAGGTTCTGACAAAGGTTAACATTACACTAGTTTTGTCTCCTCTCTGAATCTGACACATAGAAGAGAGATATGGATACTTTACAAGGAAGCTTAATTTTAAAAGCTTGTTCCCACAGATAATTTTGCTGCTAGTCAGATGGGTTACAATATTGCTGCAAACTTTCTCATAGAAAACCCTTGTTGTATGCATGGTATAATGTCAGTGTATCCATTCCCCATGCCCACAAATCAGATCTGCTCTCATACACCATCTGAATGTATCTAGAAGTACAGCAATTCCTTTCTATATGGCTTACTCCAGAAACGTGGCCACAGTTTTTATCTGAAAGCATATTCTGAGGCCCCAAAATCTGGAAGGGGTGTCATATTAATCCAAAGAATCTTACTTTCCCATGAAAGTCCACGGTCAGTGAAGAAGATATCAAAACATTCCAGTGCTTATTTAGTTAGATTAACATCCTTGTAGAGGGAGGAGAAGGGCAATACTCTCTCTGCCCAAAAACTCAGTGCTCAGACTGTGAGAGGACGCAGCGGACATAGCTCTGATAGAGGAGAGCCTTGTATCATTCAGCAGTGCTGGTCTAATTATAGGCAGTTAACTTAACATCAATTTCAGGACAAATTGTGGGAAGGCTGATTGGGATGCAATCAGTAAAGAATTAAAGAGTGATACCACAATTAATGCCAAACAACACAGTTATATGGAAACAGATCTTGTCAGACAAACTTGATATTTTTTTATGAGATCACAAGTTTGGTTGATAAAGGTAACTTGCTGACATATTATACTTAGACTTCTGTAAGGCATCTGACTTAGTCCTGCTTGACATTTTGATAATTTAGTATAGTGAATTTTTTGTTAATGTAGCCAATATTAAATAGAGTAAAAACTGACAGACTGGTTAACTGACAGATTGCAAAAAGTAACACTGTGAATGGGGAATCATCACCCAACAGGAGGGTTTCTAGTGGGGTCCCACAGGGATCTGTTCTTGGCCTAGTGCCATTCAATATCTTTATCAATCATCCGGAAGAAAATATAAAATCATTGCTAAAATCTGTAGGTGACATAAAAATTAGTGGAGTGGTAAATGATGACAGGCAGACCTGGAGCATCTAGTATCATTTGAACAATGTGTTTTAATACGGCCAAATGCAAGGTCATATATCTAGGAATAAACAACGTAGGTCACATTTATAGGATGGGGAATTGTATCCTGGAAAGCAGTGACAATGAAAAGGACTTAGGAGCCCTGTGTATCTGGACACAAATCTCAGATACTTAAAGAGGGCAATATCAAGGAGGAGTAGGGAGGTCGTGTTACCTGTGTATAAAGTATTAGTGTGACTATTAACTGGAAAATGCTGTCCACACTTCAAAAAGGATGTTAGAAAATTAGGAAGGGATCAGAAAAGAGTTACAAGAATGACTCAAGATCTGGCCTAATAATGAGAGACTTTAAAAGCTCAATCTATTTAGTTTATACCAGCAAAGGTTAAGAGGTGACTTGATCATTGTCTATAACGACCTACACAGGGAAGAGATTTCTGCTCTTTTTAATCTAGCAGAAAAAAGCATAATGAGATCTAATAGTTGGAAGCTGATGCTAGACAAATTCAGACTTGTAATAATGTAAAATTTTTTAACAATTATTAAATAATTGGGTAATAATTAACCACGGGAACAACTTGCCTAGGGATGTGGTGGATTCTTCCTCATGTGAAATCCTTATATTAAGACTAGATATCTTTCTAAAATAATACGCTATAGCTCAAACAGAAATAATGGGCTTGATATAGAAATTACAGGATGAGGTTCTTAGGCCTATGTTATGCGGGAGGTCAGACTAGATGAGCATAATGGTCCCTTCTGGCTTTAAAATCTGTGAATCAATGCCTGTTGCTGATTGAGGAGTGGTGCCCATGGACTCCAAAGAGAGTCCCTCCCATCAATTTTCCTAGATCAGGAAGATGGTGGCTGTGAAGTAGAGCATCAGAAGTGTGAGGATAAATGAGGAGGAAATAGGAGTGGTTGTCTCTCAATGTTCTAGAAAGCTCACCTCCCTACCCCCAAAAATTATTCTCAGTGGAAAGAGAGGAAGGAAATCAAATGCAGAATTGAGTATATTGATATGTATGTTTAGGACTTGCCTACACACAGAAGTTGCACTGTTTTAATCTAAAATGATTTTGTTAAACTGCTGCAACATTGTGGACGTACTTACAATGATTTAAGCCTGGTTATATTGGTTTAACCTGGTTACAAGCCCAGGCTAAACCAATATAAGAAGATCCACACACAATGCTGCACTAGTTTAACTAAATTGGTATAAAATCATATTTTAGTTATATCGGTACAACTATGTACGTAGATCAAGCCTCAGAGGTCACAGTTTAGTCCTAACTAGCCCCACCACTGAAAATCTCCATGCTCCTATATCTTCTACTCCCACACCGACTCTGTGTTGCAGCACAGTGTCAAGACATTGCTCTGAACTGGTGACCACTTAAGTGCCTTACGGATAATAACTTAACAAGTCCTCCTTCTTTTCTGAGGCAATATGAAACGGAGGTGGCTTTGTTCTGCCTCAGTACACAAAGCTTCGAGTGTTTTCTCCGAGTGGGACACGCACAAGCTTGTGAGTGAGGTAATGAAACATTACACTAGCAGTGCTGTCTCATGCTTTTGGTCTCCCTCGAGCACCTCTGCTGTCATAGCTCCCTATAGCAAGCACATGGCTTCTTGATTGCTGTGTCATAAGTTTAGAACCATGGATTGAAGTCCTTGCTTAACGCACACAGACTTGGTCATTGCTAATGCCCTCTCTCACTACCTGGGCTCGTGGAATGTGACCTCCAACCCAGCTAGATGCCACCCCAAGTGTCATGATCAACATTACAGGTCTGTGATTCTACCAAACACTCTTTCAGAGAGAAAAGGGACTAGGCATGCTATGCCCTTACAGTGAGGTTAGTGAGTATGTCAAAGGCTCCATGTTACTACTTGGAACCACTTAAATCCTACTTTCTGTATTTAATAAAATCACTTTTTATTTATTAAAAGTATGTGTTAATACCTGGGGAGGCAAACAGCTGTGCATATCTCTCTATCAGTGTTACAGTGGGCGAACAATTTATGAGTTTACCTTGTATAAGCTTTATACAGGGTAAAACAGATTTATTTGGGTTTAGACCCTATTGGGAGTTGGGCATCTGAGTGTTAAAGACCGGAACACTTCTGTTAGCTGCTTTCAGTCAAGCCTGCAGCTTTGGGGCAAGTAATTCAGACCCTGGGTCTGTGTTGGAGCAGACGGGCGTGTCTGGCTCAGCAAGACAGGGTGCTGGGGTCCCGAGCTGGCAGGGAAAGCAGGGGAAGTAGTAGTCTTGGTACATCGGGTGGCAGCTCCCAAGGGGGGTTCTGTGATCCAACCCATCACAACAACAATTTAATATAAAAATAAACAAGCACAAAGGACACTATACTGGTTGCATTGGATGTGGTGGGGGCAAGCAATGGGGTTACAATGTTGTGTAATATTAGGGTCCCTATTGAATAGTTTAGGTCTAATGGACTGCACAGGATACAGGGCTGTGGGTATGCTACAACCTTTCAGATATAGCACAGGGCATGTGACAGGGTTAGGTTATGCAATAACCAGATAGAGAGGGGTAAATTGTGCACACTCTTGCTATTGTCACAATGTCCTTTGGGATGTTCAGGTCTCATAGTGGTCCTGAGCATCACTGTTAGTTACCTCTCTCTAATACCATGAAGCAATCAGGGGCAAAGACAGCAGGTTATAAAATACCTTCATTGCCATGAGTTCCTGCATCAATACTGCATTTTCCAGATCTAGCCTCTGGCTGTCTCCACGAGGTTTGACATCATAACTAAGGGGATCAATATGGATGCTCTCCAGCTCCAACATGGTCAGCTTGACTGCTGCCCTGTCATTCTTCAGCTGCTGGATGTAATCCTTCAACCTCTGCTCATCCTCCTTTGTGAACTCCGTATCACAGCTACTTGCAGTTGAGCTGGTAGTGCTTGGAAGACCAAAAACAGCATTACTCATTGGGAGAAGGATTCAGGTCTCTAGGCTCTCCCCCCGTCCACCTGCCCCCAGCCCCCATTTGAAATTTGTTTAATTAACACCACACACATGATTCACCCAAGCATATTTACACTCGCAGTTGCCACAGAGTATAATTTTATCAGGATCATCATCATCAAACGTGCACAGTCTACTGAGGACCGTTGTGCCAGCCTGAATGACCATGATTAAGGTTAAGATTTTGTCATGGTTATTTTTAGTAAAAGTCACAGCCAGGTCATGGGCAATAAAAAAAAAAAAACCGAAACCCCCCCCCCTTAAAAAAAAACGGGCTTCCATGAATTTTTGTTTATTGCCCATGACCTGTACGTGACTTTTACTAAAAATAACCATGACAAAAGGGGGCTGATGGAGGGATGAGAGCCCAAGCCCTGCTGTGGGAGGCTAGGAGGGGGTCCAGCACCCACTGCTGCGGTGGCTGACAGCTCTTGGGTCCCCCCTGAAGCCTGTGGCAACTCCGAGTTCCAGGACCCCCGCCAGCTGACAGCTCCAGCCCTCCTGCCCTGGGTCTGAAGCACAAAATGTCACAGAGGTCTCTGGAAGTCACGGAATCCATGACATAATCTTAGCCTTAACCATGGTTGATGGCATCGTTATAATCGAGTTACCACATCTGGCTCAATCCTATGAATCCATGAATGGCTTTGCAGGGGGTGCCAGGCAGGGTTGGGTCATGCACCCCCTTGCATGTTGATGGAGAGCTTGAGAGCACGGTGTGCTGGTGTGTTTTTGTCCCTCTGGTGACATGGCTGAACAGCATGCCATCCTTTCGAATATAAGGAGCAATTGAAGGAAGGCAAGAATGGCCAGCAGGATCCAGTGTGTATTAATATTGTTATAGAACTACTGTAGTACTATAGAAAATATTAACTTGGGAGCACATATCAAACATCCCATTTTTCAATTTAGCCTGGACCAAGTGTTGCAATATGCAAAAGAAACACACACACACACAAAACTCTGCAACTTTAAAATACAGAAAAGAAAAAATATATAGTTCTTCAAACAGAATAAAAAATGTTACAATACTGAGTCAATTATTTCTTCACTGCAAAGACAGATCATTAGTTTTGCTGGCATAACTACTTTTGACACAAAACTTTTTTTTAATAAACAATTAAGTGCTTGTTAAATATGCCATGCTGAGAGCAACATGAACTAAAATCCTTTATCTACAGAGCTGATACAGCACAAGCAGCAGCGCAGAAAACTTCTGCATGCTGCCTCATGCCTTGAATGGGAATAACAATATCTCTTGGAAAAGTTAGTTCAGATTCCATGCCCCGTCTGCTGATTTTGATGGTCACCTGTAAGAAACAGCCTGAGATTGCTTCAGAAAGTCCAGCTGCTGTCATGGCACTGTCTTTCAATCACTATAAACCTGGGGCTGGATTTGAAACAGTGACCAGCTACCCCAGAGCTAACTTCCACAAGACATCCAAATCCCTCAACTTGGAGGTATCTAAGTCATGTTTTACAGGACTTCTAACAGAACACCATCATCTGACTTTATTGTCGCATTCCTTTTCCAAAGGTAGTTTCAAAAGAAAAACTGCCAGACAATTTTAGCTTGCTCCATACATGTCACATAATGAAGAGCTTTTACAAAGGGAAAACAATTTCTAGATAAGCACGAGGCGCCTCAGTGCCCCATCTCTATCTATGTGCATTCCAGTGTTCTAGGGAGAAGAGATTTATGGAGGTTAATTGCAATGCTGCTTTAGTTCCTTAACATTCCACTGCTGAATATACTTGCAATAACACTAAAAGGAAAAGAAACAGCACTGCATTTTCTACAACCCTACACAGACAAAGCTGCCTGCTGTCTCCTGAGGACCTGTAATCAGCTGCTGGGTGAGGGTTAAGTCATCCATTAACTGTGCCTGTCTGGAATGCTGGATGATCTCAGTTATCAGCAGGGGAATAAATCACATTCTGTATTGGGTTGCATTATTTTTCAGCATTTTTTTGAGGAGGAAAAAACCCCACCCTGTGGACTCCTGCTGGAGCCAGGCTAATGTGTAATGGAAATACACTTTGCTTACACACTTATGCACTGCTGAAAGAAGAGGGGGGAAAAACAGGTTGGTTTTTTCTCCTTCCTCTCAATTGTGCTTGTGCTCAAGCAGTGTTGATTTTAAGTTGCATCAGATAATTGCCAGTGGATCTTTCAGAGAATTCCAAGCCCAGGGCAGCCTGAGAGGAAACAGAGAATTGGCAGGGCTACAAAGGCTTCCTTAAGTCTCCTCCCCCCCCCCCATGAAATATCACATTACATGGCTTTACTACAGCTTTCTGCTAATTTCAAATGATTTCTTCTCTCTCTTAGGGATAACAGGCGCCGTGTTTACTAGAAGTGAAAACCACTTTTTTCCCCACTAATTCCCATCTGCAGTAAATCAGAACCCAGCTAGCCTATATTGGGTAAAAATACACTCAGGTTTTAATGAGTTCTCCATAATACTTTGCTTTTCATCAGAGGATCTCAAAGCTCTTTATAAACCTTATTTAATTAGCCTCACTAGGCCCTCGTGAGGTAGATATGATGTAAAAAATCAGGCAATACAACAAATTACTATTCAATTCTATATTCAAGTGGTGTTGTAGATCTCTTTGGGTTCCAAAATAAAAAGTTATTCAGCCTTCCTGGACTACACACAGAGACTAATACTCAGGGACAGTATTTAGGGTCCACACAGCCTGCACATCCTAAGAGTTTTAGTTAATGTTAACCTTAGCTTTCGTTTATAGAGAAAATATGCTCCTTGTCCTCTTTGCTGGAAAGACAGCTCTCAGAATGAAAACTGAGCACTGGCCTGTATATCTGCTATGAGGATGATTCCTAAAGCTCCCCAGGTATTCACAGTACCAGCCACAGCTGCATAGGACTGACCTTTCAGGTCCACAGCTACAGGTCTCCATTTTTTGGAGACCAATCCACAGCTGTGGAAGGCAACGGCAACTTGGGTTGCTGCCAATGATGCTAGAGCTGTCTTTAGCTCAGTCCTGGCTGGCTGCCTGCCTGCAGCTGAGCTGGCTCCTCTGCTGAAGTGCTAGTGAGGCCTCTGGTTACAAGGTGAGGAATTAATAGAGGAGCTGTCTCAATTACAGGCAGCCAGTACAAAGAGGACAGAAGAAAAGGAGAACTGCCCCTTGTCCCCTAACTAGGGTGACCAGAAAGCAAGTGTGAAAAATTGGAACAGAGGGTGTGTGTGTGTGGGGGGGGGGGGTAATAGAAGCCTATATAAGAAAAAGCCCCAAATATCAGGACTGTCCCTATAAAATTGGTGCCAGAATCCCCCCACCCAGCGTGAGAGAAGAGAGGAGGCAATATGGCCAGCAGAGGAAAGGGGTACATAACCTATTCCCCTACTCAAGAGGCAGAGACAGCCCCCCAATCCCTACCCCCATTTCTTAAATTGTGGAGAAGAAATTCAGTCTGCAAGGCTGCATGACTAAGCACTAAAACAATGCCATGATGCATATGTGATCCTGGGTTGTGATGCCACATGGGGCTCCTTCAAAACTCACTTTGATGGCTCTCCCCAATCCTCAGGCCAGCCCTGCTGCATATGTGGGGGAACCTCCCCCGCTGGATACTGTGTAGTGCTGAATTTGGCAGACTGCTATGCTTTCCGATGGCAATCAGGGTAACACGAATGAGGTTAGGGGATGAACTGAATAGGCAGCATGTCACAACCAGAAAAAAACCAAAAACAGATACATGATGTCTCTCTCATTTCTCTAACATGCAGGTAGGGGAAAAAATTATACAGCTCCATCAGACCTTTTGGGAAAATGATTTCCTTCTGCACATCCCCTCCCCCCCCCCCCCCGGTGTTCATAAAGAGCTGAAAGAAACATTCTACCCACTCGGTTCATCACTAACATCTGCAAGATTCCTAAATGATACCCAATTAATTTGTATATGTATTTTTTATACAGAGCATACTAGATAGCGTGGTGTAATATTAAGAGGTGTACATGTACATCTCCACACACGTGTACAAACACACACACACATATTACATGTGCAAATATACAAACACACACACTGCATATATAAAATATTTCTCTGTTTACTGATGCTGTTGAGTACATCCTTTCTTTTCATTCAAGAAACCCTGTCTGGGTGAAAAGGATACAGTATGAATTTCTATCCATAATAACTGTGGGTTAAGGCTTTATAGAATTAAAATAATGTGGAATGTCCCAAATCCATGTAACACTCTTGAATGGTAATGTCTGCATTTGAACTTTTACTTTAAGGAATATTTGTTAGGTCACGTACATCTGTCCACCCATCTTCCAGGTCAGAGTGGCTCCATATCAGAGAAAGCACACAACCGGAAGGCAGGGATAACCTTTCAGATAAACTGGCCTTCACTCAGACCAGTAGAATTTGAATTAACAGTATATTGGGCTATAATCTCAATATTTTGGCAAAACTACCTCCCTTCTTTGGAAACCTATTTGCTCCAATGATGAAGTCTGGTACTGAGAGCATACCACATGCTTCGGGATTTGGAAGCATTAACATGTTTCCATATCGACATTTCCACATTTCAGCCAACATAATCCTTTATTTCACCTACTTATCCGAAATCCATGAGGTGGTTCTGAGAGGAGGATTTAGCCCTAGGTTTGGGTAAGTTCAGATGGGTAGTGGTAAAATATGTTGTAGAAATGTATTTCCTTTGCATGTGATGGGACAGACTGTCCTTCTTGCATCTTGATGGAAGGTTGGGGTTACTAGTAGTGCAATGAATACAAAACAGCATCCTTAGTCATTGTAACAGCAGCAATCTCCATCTCTCTCTCTCATTTCATTCTTTTTACAGGTGCAATCAGTTGGATCTTCTTGGAAATGAATGCTCCTCTGTCCATTAAAACAATTACGACTTCCATAAAGCTATTTTTATTTTCAAAAAT